ATGACCATCAGCAGTTTGAAGTGCTTCTTGATACACTGAGCTACAGAGATTTAAGATTTGCATTTAGATAATTCCTTATCTTTCATCTCAGTGCAGCTTAAAGTTACAATACATTTTGTGACTACATCAGTCCTTTCAGTTTTGACACAAAAGTCAGCTTCGACTCTCCCCTGAAGGGTACACATGGACACAAACACAAGCGCACACTGACATCAATCCCTGCTGTGTGAGATGCAAGACAAGCCATGGGATGCAGTCGCCATGTTGACTCAGCCCAGGAAATGAACAGACTGACTGCCATCTCTCAGACACACACCGTCATGTTCCTACTGGCAACGAGCTACAATATTTCCAAGCAAATTTCAAACCCCAGTAATTAACTTTAAATTTTGTCATTACACAATATTCCCATTACAGAACCTCCAAAACATAAATTGTAAATGTTTTCAAAACCTACTGTCTCAGTACAGATTGAACAATAATCCACAAGAAGAAGCTCAGTAAGAGTCTATTTTCACACAAACTGAGCCCAGCTTCCATTACCTGCATATCGATCTGATTTCAAATTTAGCCCACTTGACAGTATATTGCATGAGCACTGAACTGGTTCTTATCTAAACAGTGCAGCAGCAAGAAGGTGGAAAACCTGTGGAAGATAAAAGGATCCTGCCCTGTGTAACTGAATGGACTATCGCTTGAAGCGTGTGTTTGCGTCTGCGTCATGCTCTCCATCAGAAAACAGGCTGTCAGGTCACGTCAGACCGGTGTGACATCCACAATGATGCTAGCATCCAGGGAGACTCTGCTATAAATGTGGAGCATGTTTGCGTGTGTGTGTTTCTATCGAAGGACCTAAGTGGAGGCACAAATTCAAAATTCATTATATAAAAAAAAAAATAGATGGATGCTTTCAAATGGGCTTTTGGTTTATTATTATCAAAGCTGACACCATTGGCAGTAAATAAACTAGTTCTAGTTACTGATTTATTCAGCCATGCATGCAGGTCACCCCTCGGCAAAACACCCCCAGTACTGTTTGCCATTCTGTTCAGCCTGCATCGATCTCACCCCATGTATGGCATCTCAAATATTTCATTGCAATACTGCTACAGAAGGAACAGAGGCTACTGTTTACTTATTCATAAGAGGTTCTCACAGCCCCTGACACAACCCCAAAGGAAGTTGTGTCTCTTTCTAGTCTGGGACCAGGGACTTTCAGGTATTATGCTGAGACGTCACACGAAATGCTGTAGTAACACTGTACTGCACCACCAAGTCACTTTAACAGTGATGACAATATAACTGTTGAACTTGGCTGTAACTTTCTGCATGGATCATGAAAACAATGCATTCCTTCGAAACAGTCACTGTGCCCATCTTCAATTATCACAGCATTGAGTGTAATGGACACACTGGTTCACCATGTGGATCTCACCCCTTGCATCTTCTTAACCGTGAAATAGACACGCATGCTTAAGTTGTATTACCAGTAGGGGGAGATAATGTAATTAAAGCCAACACTTGGCTAGTGACCAAGGAAGGTATAAAGTACATTGCAGACTCCTTCTATGCCAGAAACAATGAGGCTTCTTGGCTAATATGTATTTACATGTAAATGTGTTCGGAATGTCTCTTTAACCATATTCATGTTTTCTTGTAATAAAATATCGCCCCCTGCTGGTACTGCAACTTAAACCAGCATGTCCAATAAACACTGCTGTGATATTTTGGTGTTCCATCAGAGTTCATCACTATTAAATAAATAAATATCAATTAAGCTCTTTTTCATTGATCTGAGATGGCAAAAGGAAAATCATTATACAGTATTATAAATTAAAAGTGGAATTCTGAATTTATAGCTAGTATTATTAGTATTTTGAGGCGAAAACTTAGAATTTTTGAGAAAAGACAATAAAATTACATTAACATTAACATTAAAAACCTTTCATATAATAGAACTGCCCTGCAACAAATTGGCGACCTGTCCAGGAAGTATCCCACCTCTCACTCTGTGGTAGCTGGGATAGGCTCCAGCCCCCTGCAACCCTCAATTGGATAATCGGAAGAGGATGGATGGATGTTATCAAATTAGAGTTCCTCAAATTTTTACTTCAATTCTTCAATGTCCTGATTCCTGGGTCCACACCTTTGCAATTTTGGATATAAAAATACACAGTTTTCAGCTATATAAACGCACTGGCCCTACATTCGGAAAATACAGCAAAATATATACAACACAAAATCTACTCCAATACACCTTCGATAATAATAAAACATAATAAAACAGTACTATCAGTTATAACAGTTTTTACTCTCTAAATCGCTCCATTACTGTTGTTCTATAAAACAGATGGGATTCAAGCCTAACATTATGGAGAAATCCTACTTTTTCTAAATTTCTGAATTTTTTAGGAAAATTCTCCTGTGGCTTAACATCCGGTTATTATTTGTAGTACAGGTGGCATTAAGGCAGTGTGTGCAGTTATTCTTAACACAGTCAGCAGTCTTAAATCAATCAGGATGTTAGCCTCTTACGAACAGAATTCCTGAAAGAAAAATTATAAGACATAACTGCCATATTATTAATGCTGTATTTTTTTAATTAAAATGTTGGTTGAATTGCAGCCAATTTATGTCAAATGGAAATTATACAAAATGTATTTGTTCCACAAAACAATGAGGAAAAGCACGCATTGATTGTCTATCAAGTAGAAGTGCACAAAGATGATATTCTGACCAGGGACGATCAGGCTGCAATCTGCCCTCCAGTGGATGGACTTACACAAGGTCCCTTTACTGTTTTCTTCAAGATTGTTTAACCGTATTTTGTGGATCTTTGTTTGGGGTTTTTTTTTTTTTGAAAATGTAAGAAGAGTGAGATAAATTTAGAAGTCGTGGGTTCTTTACTGGAACATCCTGTTGACAAAAACAGTGCTTTAAAATGCAGCTTTAAAAAAGAAAATGTAATCTGTCAAATATTATAGTTCTGGAGACTCCCCTGCTTTTTTGCTATTCATGCCTCCAGTTTTTGCAAACACGAAGGCACTACAAAACAAATTCACCTAAAGCATTTTGTTATTTCGTGTATTAATGAGCTCATAAATCCATAGTACAGCTATTACAGAATGCCAAACTTTTCATTTGAAGGCAACTCTAAGATTTTGTTAATAAGATCATTACTTTCAGAGCTTACAGATGTTCCACAGGAGATGATACATTCTCACTGGGTTACTGTGCTCGAGCTTCCCGTCTCATGGAAGTGTGGGTGCTGTCTGAAATATGTGACGTCATTGTAAAGTAAATCGCTTCACAGTGTGACTCACTGACTTTGTTGACTCCTCAGACATCCCCTTTTTGTCTCCCCCCTTCCTCCCTTGCTCCCCTTTGTGTTTAGGTGGCTTATTTTTCCCAATCTTTTCACGCCAACACCTGAATGGAAATACCTCAGAGCTCTGAATATGGATCAGTTTTGATTGCCACAGCATACATTCCAGATTTTCTGTTATTTCTCTGTTTGGATTCCCCCTGCTGCTGTCTTCTACTGTTCCCTCCATAGGCTGAAATATGACCAGCAGCTAGGATATAGCTAGGATATAGATAGATATATAACTGCATTATTTTTTGCTGATCTTGTCACATTTTTACAGCTGCTTTACCCCAAAGCTGGTGCCTCCTAAATTAATTTTACCTGCTTCTTCAATTTTCCAGCCAAGAGTCGTGATTAATACTTTGGCTGATATTGGGGATAAAGAGCATATCTGAGATTAGGAGGTATAAATGAGGATAAGAAGCAAGCAATATAAGCTCTTTTTTCTTGTCTATTTATTTGTTTATATTTTTTCCTCATCATGCAGGTTAGGGCTGGGAGGCTTTTCAGGGAAATAAGTGCGTACAGGGTTTATTTCTTTTTTTTTTTAGAGTCAGACCTTGGACTGACAATAATGCTGTCAACACCCACTAATGGAATAATAATAATAATAATAATAATAATAATAATAATAATAATAATAATAATAATTATTATTATTATTATTATTATTCATTCGAATGAATGTGAATTCATGTGGGATTCATGTGAATGGTTCTCTGTCCCTGTGTGTTGGCCCTGCGACAGACTGGCGACCTGTCCAGGGTATACCCTGCCTCTCACCCTATGACAGCTGGGATAGGCTCCAGCGCCCCCCGCGACCCTGAAAAGGATAAGCGGAAGCGAATGGATGGATGGATGGATGGATTATTATTATTATTATTATTATTATTACAATAATAATCTTAAAACTAGGGCATATAACCTACAGTTTTATAAAGAGACCAAATGCTGTCTCCGTCGATCCTTCTAGCTGCAGGATTTCCATTTCTACTCTGCTCCATCACACTCAGTGAAGAGGAGCGTGCAGCTGAAGGTCCACAGATCAGTTTGAGCTCATGAAGACTATTTGAGTAGCCCTTTCTCCCTGAGGCAAGGCTGAGTCAGTCATAACAACCATCTTTAGTATGAAACTGGTGCATGTTGTTGCTTCATGCAGAAATAATAAAAGACCAATCTCATGGTTTATGCAGGGAATCTTAAATCACTTGTTTGGCATGCGCATATTTCACCTACAAATGCAGGTGCAGTGCAAGCACACACTTGTGGCTCAACACAGACACAGACACTAAAAAAGTGCAGGAAAGGAGCAATCGATGGGTAATTAGCAAGCAACTTTACGGTATATACGTGTATCCTACAAGGGTCTGATTGGGATTTTTTTGTTAATTCGTGTGCATTTCCCCAGAAAACATCAATTTTATTTGTATTTAGAAAAGCTCTTGAGATAACTGAAGAAAACTTAAAGCAACACGTTTGAATTGAATTGAATTTGATTTGAAATCAGTGCGTATTTGGGGCCTGAAACCCCCAAATGAAGCTTTGCATTAGGCATAAAGTGGGTTTTGCTGCTCTCATCAACAGCCTCAAACTCATTAAAGTAACTGTGCTAATAAAGCATGATAGCGTTTACCTGACCACTCCGTACATGACAAGGACGTTGCCGAGAAGTCCCACCACGCAAATAACGGAGTAGAGCGCCGTGATGGATATGGCTATGATTATACCCCCGGCGCTCCTCGCCGGATTCTGCTGCTCGGTGTAGTTCTGCAGCCTGTCGCTCATTAAGTCGCTCTCATCAGCCGGGAGGGTGACATTGAAGGGGATGACGGAGTAAAGGTCGGACAGGGAGAGCTGAGCTCCGGGGACCGTGTAAGGCTCCATGCTGCAGTGCTGCCCACTCTGTCCTCGGTGATGAAAACTTAACCGCGCAACAGTGAGAAGAAAGGCAAAGATTTAAACTGACACAGGAGGAAAAAAAACTAGTCAGACTGGAGGGAAGAAGTGGAAAAGGCGAGCAGGAGAGTTTCCAAAAAACGTGCAGATTAGAGCCTCTGAGTAAGAGTTTTCTATCCAAACGGACGAAGAGTAAGTGCCCCCCCGGAAGCGGGCAGCTGCATCTGTGCGCTCTAGCTGTGTGTACACCTCTTATACTCTCGGAGACCCCCACCTCACAGCCCGGCAGCTCTCTAATACCCGTGCGTCGACGTCAAACCTGCTCATTTATACACTGGAATCAACGGGAATGCAAGGTTTGGGGTTTCCTTCTTTTAAACAGAAATAAAACCTTAAAGTTGCGCAGAAAGAGAAACAGATTCAATCAAATTCCACTTATCTCGAGTAAACTGGGAACAGGGCACGTTAATGATACTGAAACTGCCTTTTAACAGCACTTTCAGTAAAGCCATTATAGAAGACATAAACACACGCTAAAGTTAGCAAGGTTGATGTGTCCACCTACAGGTATGGCGTTATTTTTGTGCCACTATTTTGAGCGCACGTAAAAAAAATTTGAGCGCACGTAAAAAAACAAAAATAACGCCATAAAAGCCAGGGTGGGAACTGTCCTTGTCCTGATGTTTGCTGCTCTGCTGAGGCAGCGGGAGGAATAAATGATGCCTTCGGAAACATGGTACAGATAAAAATTAGAGATCAACTTTCAAATTCCCTGCTTTTTACATTGTAAAATGATACTAAAATTAAAAAGAGGCATCCATCCATTCACTGGGCTAACCAAGTGACTCAAACCCAACATGAAGGTCCTGGGTTTGAATCCCTGCGTCTGTGTGAGTTCTCTTTGGCCAATCTGACTTCTACTTACAGTCCAGAGAGATGCGTGGGTTACATTAGTTGGTGATTCTAAATTGACTGCAGGTGTGAAAGGTTGCCTATTGGCCTTGTGATAGATGCGTGACCTGCCCCTGGTGTACCCTGCCTATTGCTCTGTGACAGCTGTGATTGGCTCTCGCCCTCCCACAAGGTTTTTTTCTTAAACCTTGATTTATTCAGAACAACTCTTGAAATTGTCTGTAAGTACACTAGTTGTATTTATGCACACCAGTTTAAGACAATTTAAAATAGGCTTGAATTTACTATGCAGTTGATTATGGTGGTGGTTATAGGTTTACTTTGTCATACTGTTTTAAATGTAAATTTACTGGGTTTCCTACTATGCGTCTTCATTTATAACCTCTGTTTAGCTGACATTTTTTTGTCAGTTGAAATGACAGTATGAATGTACGCCCATCTGTCATAGCTTATTTCTTTCATGAAACACCAAAGTAAAGGGGGCCAAATGCCCCTCTGTCAGAGTTGGTTGCCTGTCCAGTCCTTATGCACTGGCGCTGACCCTAGTTTGGCCACTGCAGAGTGGATTTTCAGTCCAAATTCTTCCAGGTGGTGAGATACTTTATGCCAAGAAAAAGATTTGCCCCGTTCAGGAGAGAACTGGCAAGAAATTCAAACTAGAGTGTTCTCAATTACATGACATGTAATGTCTTAGATACTCTAACAATTATCCTCCTACAACTACTTCTCATATTTTCAGATTCTAAGAAATTAAAATGCATCCCTCTGACTGAATCATTTTAAACGGGAATAAGTAGTGACTTTAATATTTAGAAAAAACTGGAAAACTGGAACCAAATGCAGAACCAAGAGACACTCAGAGAAATGTTTACGGTCTTTTTTGATTTTGTTACTATGGAGCAAAGGTAAACAATGGGAATGTCAGGAGAAAGCCCTCCAGGTCCAGAAAAGGCAGGAAATACACACGACAAAGAGAAGAGTGTTTGAGCCAGTACAAAGAGCTTTTGGTGACAGAGATTAGTGTGGAGGTATGAACGCGCAGAGCTTACTTGCATTGCTATGAATGGTCCTCAGAGGGGTGAAGTGACAGCAGGGCTGCCTGTAACTCCTGACTTAGTGTTTCTGTCTGGCCGTTGGACTGAGGGAGCTATCATGAGCTGAAGCTTGCCTTGGTCTCCCAAAGCCATACAGAAAGTTTTCCAAACTTGTAAGACCACAATTGGACACAATATCTACAGCTGGAATGTCAGACTCATCTTACATTATGGGGCGATCGTGGCTTAAGAGTTGGGAGTCAAAGGAGCTTGCAAAGAAAAGCGTCTGGACTTCTTTAAGTTGCTTGAAGACGTTTCACCTCTCATCCGAGAAGCTTCTTCAGTTCTAAG